ACACACACACGCGCGCACACACACACCCACACACACGCACACAAACACACGCACACACACACACACACACACACACACACACACACACAAACACGCACGCACGCACACACACACGCACGCGCGCGCACACACACGAACACGCACACGCACACGCACACGCACGCATGCCCACACAGATGCATATATATATATATATATATAACGTTGAATTAATGTTTGCGTTTGTAGAAATGATGAAGTAGGCCAAACTTAATAGAAGTGTATTAAACTGAATAAACTTTAATATCTTGCACAGAGAGACAAAGAAACGCGCACACGTGCGTAAGCGCGTACGTGTGCTTCCTCCCGGGACCACAACCAGACTCCTCCACCCCTACATCTCTGCCTCTCTTCCCGTCTCGCTCATCTCCCTTCTATATATTACCCCCAAACCCCCTACATCCTGAGCGCACATGTCACCCGTTCTCCCAGACCGTGTCCTACCTCCAGCTCACAATGACCCTAGAAACGCCCGACCTAAAACACGTTTACCAGTCTCCCTATAACATCAATCTAGCCGCACAAGATGCGCGACGCTCTGTCTAGATAAACAATTACTAAAACAACCCATAGTCTAGCTCCGCTGACTAATTCATGCAACATTTGTAAAACATATGTTACATATAGATGTGTGCATGTAATTTAAGACCAATGATAAATCACAATTAAGAACATGGATAAAAAGCAAAAAGCGTGTCTTTATTTCACTCACCCCGTAAACGAAGTTAGAGATGAATAGAATCATCATTGCGCGATGTTCTGTTGCTCCACACATAATCGCCCTTTTAAACTGGTTGCCTCAAACGTTATCTATAAAAAGTAAACATAGATATACCCAGCAAACATGTATGTATTGGGGCGATACTAGTGTAGCAGGTTTATAATTTGTATGTTATTAAATTAAGCAGGTATATTCAATGTGTATATATACATCATGATTGAATGTGCCTTTTTAAATTCATATATTTCATTGCGCATATTTCATATGAGCAGGAAATGCATGCCAGCTGGTATAACATGTCATGACTGTAGCCGTACACCTTTTCTATTTTACGCATTTACCAGGTTAAACCTTGTTCTGGTAATTTTCTAGCTAGTTTTTAGGGTGGCATATATTTGAAATAGAGCTTTGATCGTATAGGGTAATTCTTGACGTCGCCTCTCCAAATATGGAGCGCGATAAAGTTATAGGCCTTGTATAATAGCGTTGTTTCTTGCGTTGTGATTCTTGACCGCAGATTCTTTCTCGTGCTTAGCTAAACAGATACTCGAAGGAAGTCACGCGCAGAATAAAAACTATGAAGAGTCAAAGCTGGGGTTGACGTACAATGGTTTACTTTCACGGTAAAATAAACACTTTACTATGGCTTCTATAGGCTAGAGGCTTATTCACATATAAAAACGCCTCATTATATATTCACAAATCAGATGCTCGGTTCACACTAGCTCCAAGAAACGGTATTGCTAGGGTTAGAATACCTGTATAGAATGTATAGACAATCCGTCGCACAGCCTGGTCGGGCTAGGTTCACACATAAAATGTAGCACCCTCATTATATATTCACACAAAAATAACTGCGCGCACATACGTGAAAAGCGCGCAGAACTCGGCAGTTTTATACTACTAATGTGGTGGAGCTAGGGGTGACCACACTGAATTTTTCCACGCGCTGTGGTTAGCGCGTGGAATTTATTTGTTTCGGGATGATTTTTCGCTCCTACCGCGAAGGTAGGACGGTGATGCAGTAGCGGGAAAACCCAGAGTGAAATGAACGCAAATCTTTAGATAGTATTTATACAACTGATGGATTTATTCATCATATACGGATAACATGAATAACACAACACTCACTGCACGTATCTCGAATATAGCGTATAGAGATATATA